GCCCCAGGAACCCCCAAATAACAGAGGTGGGACAGCAGCTGAGACCCCCGCCCAGGATCCCCTAAAAACCAGTGCTGGGACCATCCAGATCCCCCAAAACAGCAGCTGAGACCCCCCCAACCCCACCAAAACACACCCCAAACACCCAAAACTTCCCAAATCACCCCAAACACCCATAAAAACCCCCAAACCAGCCTCAAAATCGTGCTCGAAACACCCCAAAACGCCCCCGAAACACCAAAATCAAAGCTGGGACCACTCAGATCCCCCAAAACCAAAGCTGGGACCACCCAGATCCCCCAAAACCAAAGCTGGGACCACCCAGATCCCCCAAAACAGCCACTGAGACCCCCCCCCAGGACCCCTCAAACCAGAGCCAGGACTAGCCAGGACCCCGCCCCAAGAGGGTCCAAGACCACCCAGGATCCCGAAAATCAGTGCTGGTTCTCCCCAAGCCCCCCAAAACTTGAGTTAGAAATCCCCAGGACTACTAAAACTGGCATTGGGACCTCCCAGATCTGCTGGGACCTCTCAAGCAGGTGCTGAGAACTCCCAGGACCCCTAAATCCTGTTCTAGGACCACCCAGAACCCCTAAAATAGGTGCTGGGACCCTTCAAACCCCCTGAAACTTGAGCTGGGACCCTCCAATCTCACAAAAACAGAGCTGGAACTTCCCAAATCCCCCAAAAAGCATTGCTGGGACCCTCCCAGTGTCTTCCCCACAGGCTGTGGGTAACTTACTGGTCAGAACTGGTCAAAACTCTGCTGAGAACAGTGTTAATTCCCCAACTCTTGTGTGGTGAGACATTTTAGAAGTCCTGTTACTTCAATTCTAAAAGAAAAAGGACAAGGATTTGGTTTTTTCCCTGTTCTCAATTTTTTTACGCGATTTTCAAGTGGTTTTGAGGCCGATGAAGGGTTTTAAGGAGCCCTGCCGGGGTGAGGGAGAGAAATGGGGCCTGTGGGGTTAGAGGGGCAACTGAGGGGAGGAAATGGTGTCTGTCAGGGGAAAATGTGGAAAATTGGTGTCAGCGAGGGAAAGAGAATGGGAAATTGAGCCCCTGAAGGTGATGGGGGAGAAATGGAGGTCCTGAGAGTGATGATGGGGGAAAATGGGGCCTGTGAAGGGTTGGTGAGGGGGAAATGGTGGCTCTGGGGTTTGAGCGGCAGCTGAGGGGGGAAATTGGTGTCTGTCAGGGGAAAATGTGGGATATTTGTGTCTGT